AGAAAAAACGAAAGAAAAAGAAAAAAATAGGAAAATAAGGAAAGAGAAGAAAAAAAAGGATAGTAATGTCTTTTACTCTAAAGAAAGTGTGTTGGTAGTGGAAAGTTCTATATTGGATAATACTTTGTGAAAAAGTGTCTTATTCCTAAGATTATTTACTATCAACTTGCATGCAAACATAGTGATTTATATAGACCTTATTCGTAGTTGGCCCAGTGGGCTATAAAACAGTTTCACGATATGTGTATTAGCCCACAAACAGCATAGTTAGCGTTATTTTCACCTTAATTTTTTTCTTATTTTTAACATTTTATTTTCTATAATTCTTGTATATTTCTGATACTCTTTCCATTTTTTTTTTATATCTTTTTGCACATATATAATATTCATTATCATAAACAAATTTATAGTGTAATTTAAACATGTATCACAAACTAGTTAATTAATTTATCTAATTTTTGGAAATTTAAACATATGTCAAATTGTTTTAAATCATGATAAAAACCAACACCACGTCCTAAATCTTAAAATTAAATTAGCTCCAACACATGTCAGACTTAATCATTATATCCTATTTCACAATAGATAATAAATAAATGGTCACGCACTAGATAAAATTATCAGAAATGAAAGAAAACTCCTCTTTCTTCATAAACATATAATTTCTCTTCAAGAAAGCAAAATTGATCGGAAAAAAAAAACACATAGAGAATGAATGCAGATAATAGTAGAAGTACTGAAGGAAAAAAACTAAGAGTTTTAGTAGTGGATAATTGTAAGCTAAACCTTGTACGCCGTATGGAGCTTGGTAGGGACCTTGGAGCCATTGTTGCCACGGCAAAGAAAGGAAAGCATGTCGCTAATAAACCTCTTGACGACTTAGCTCACTTCAATCTTTTCTTGTTCGATACAACGGCTCGGGACAGCTTATGGGTAAGACAATTAATTTGGCTTTAGAAATAGTTTTCATTAGACGTGCGTGGAGATATTCAACACTATAGTACATTAAAAAACATGATTTTTTTTTTCATTCGTTTTCAATTGGTTTGTAATAGATTAGCATACAAGCGTAACAATTTTACAAAAACAGATATAACCGATTCGTCATGAATTTAAAATATTCAGAATTCATCCTGAATATAATATATACGTGAATAAAAACTATTCTATGGATGAAAGAATTATTTTTGTTAGGATCCGTATGTAATTTAAAGTCTATATATATATTCTTTTTAACTAAACTGATATTATTATAAAAATTAAGTTTTAATTAGTTATAGAAATTTGATTTTGTATTTTATATGTGTACACAAGATAGGTAAAAGGAAAATT